ACATAACTGAGAAAAACAGGTTTGTTATGCAGACAGTTAGATGTACTTTTCAGGGCTTCCCTCCTCTGCCAGAAAACACTTGAGGTAGGGAATGTTTTAAAATTGTTTTTTCACACACTGCATTGAGAAAATAAGCCCCATCACCTGCTGTAATTATAATCTTCAAATTCCCATAAAAGTGTTGATAAGATTGTTCTTGTTTCATTTATAGAAACTTCCCTGTGCTCTGGGCATGTCATTTACTTTTTCCTATGCCTCACTTTCCTTTTTGGAAAACCAGGATTTTCTGTTGATTCACAGGAAGACTTTGGAAGAGGCAGCTCATATTTACAAAGTGCACCGAACAGGAAAATGACTTGCTAGGGGAAATTTCTTGTTGCAGTAATTAATCTGATTCACCCAGGGTGAATAAGGGTGTTAGTGCACAATGAGGAGAGGACTGTGGAGCAGTGAAGGCTGACAGCCTGCCTGCATCCCCAGAGCCTCCCCACTCCCTGGGCCAGGCTCAGTCTCAGCCACAAGGCACCTGCAGATGGGGATTGATGCACATGGGTGCCCTGGGCTGCTCTGGGTGCCAGGCTGGATGGCACCACAGGCATTGGAGCTGGCAAGAATTCCCCTGCAGGGTTTTATGCCTTTCTGAGCTGTACTTTTAGCAGCAGGGAAAGGGCCAAGGAATCCTTCTAGTTACTGAGCTGGAGTTAATGGCATAGTTAGTATTGTCTGCTCACCCATCTACTCAGCTGCCAAGGGCCACACAAATCACGTGTATTGGAAGGATTGAGCTGGTGAGAAATGGGTAGAGAAGCCTCTGCAGCCACCAAGCTTTTCTTTAAGCCTGAAGGACTTGATGTTTTCCCCAGTGCTGGGCCCTGAGGTTGGATGGCAGGTGTTACAAAGACTTTAAGCTTCCAGAAAGGCATAGGTGAAGATGCTCAGGACACCCCTGCCTGGCACATTCCCCAGCCTCTGCTCTCCCTCAGTTCAGAGCTGAGTCTGAAGATTGGATTTGGATTCAGAGACCAGATCCCAGACCCTGATCTGGCTCACAAGCCAGTGACCACTTGCTTCTATCTCTTGCCTGGCATTTGCATGCATTAAATTAAATCATTTTTTATTTCCAAGGACAGTGATTAATTCACCAAGCCCTTCTGCTATTGCTTGAAATGTATTAGCTGCTTAGCCCAGAAAAGAAGTAAAAGAATCTGTGCTTTAATGGCAAACAATGAGGTTTAAATACATCCCATCTCCTTTAACATCTCCTGCTAATTAGTGACAAAGGCCCTCCTGCTCAAGTACAGCAAATATTTAACACCCACCTTCATTAGCCTGAAATTTATTTACCACCTTGTCCTCTGGCAGACATGGGGGCCATTGCCACAGTCAGCAATCCTCCCCTGGGATTTCCAACCCCTCAGACACGAGAGGGCTCCCAGACAGCCCAGGCAAAGGAAACACTCCTCAAATCCTGCTTTGGTTTTGCTTTGGGTACAAGACAGAAAATGTCTGCCAGTGTGAACCACTGTGATGGTGTTCACAGGGGTCTGAGGATGAGGGAAGAGACAAGGATCTGACTCCATGTTTCGGAAGGCTTGATTTATTATTTTATGATATATATATTATATTAAAACTATACTAAAGGAATAGAGGAAAGGATTTCATCAGAATGCTAGCTAAGAATAGAATAGAAAAGAATGATAACAAAGGCTTGTGTCTTGGCTCTCTGCCCGAGCCAGCTGACTGTGATTGGCCATTAATTAGAAACAACTCTATGAGACCAATCACAGATGCACCTGTTGCATTCCACAGCAGCAGATAACCATTGTTTACATTTTGTTCCTGAGGCCTCTCAGCTTCTCAGGAGGAAAAATCCTAAGGAAAGGATTTTTCATAAAAGATGTCTGTGAAAAACCACCATTCTAAAACACTTGTGGGATTAATGGGGGTGAAGCATCCTGAGGGACATCCAATGGAAAAGGAAGAATTAAATGCCTAGAAGACAAGAAAAACTGTGCCACTGTCCTGGGGAGCCCTGAGCAACCCAATGGGGAAGATGTTCTGCAAAATCTCCCTCCCAACTTCTCCCATTCCTGCCCTCACCTGTGGTGGCTGTTATGAGCAATCAGCAAAATCACACATTGTTTTGTCTACTCATGGGCAGAAGTGGCAGAGCTGAATTTTTTCCCTCCTGGGGCACTTGGTGCAAGGGTGGGAAGGAGGAATGGCTCTCCTCTGGCACCAAAGCCTGACAGCATGTTCAGCATCCTCATGATGCATGGTGAGAATCATCCTCTCCAGGCAGGCAAGAGATGGAGCCATTAACAAAACAGATGATGGGGCAGCCTGTGAGCACAGTGCTCTGCTCCTCTCCCAGCATTTATCTGCAACATGGCAGACACAGATTCCTGCTGATAAAGCACTTTAATACCAGCAATGAAAACTCAATGTTTTATTTCAAAATAATTAGTTCCTGGATTTGACAGACCTGTGGCCCAAACACTCCTTCTGTTCACTCAGCCTGCTGCCTGGACAAGTAGAACACAGCAGGATCTTCACCCATGAAGCAGAGGGGGTGTTGGATGTTCCTTGCACTGGGGAGGGTTTTTGGGGCCCCTCTCACAACCCCTCATCCTATATTCTCACTGTGGCCTCCCTCAGCAGCTCCAGAGTGAGTGCAGCAGTGATTTGGGGGAAATCTTAGCTTGATGCTGAGCCCATTGCACAACCACAGTCCTCTTTGTGGCATTCCTCACAATGTCACAGTGTAGGTGACTTTTGACAAGGAAGAAAAGGCCAGGCAGTCTGCAGAGTCCCTGTCATCACTGGGGAGCTTCAAAAAGAGGTGTGACAAACACCCAAAGAGAGGGCTGTAGGCTGAGTCAGCCTGCACATCCTGTGCTTCCTGTGCTGTGGCAGCAGTGACAGTGCCATCACACTGTGTGCACACAGAAGTGTGTCCTTTCCAGACAGAACCAGGCCAAAGTCTTATTCATCCCCAGACCTTCCATCCAATTGCTCTGCCACACAATTCATTTGCTATCCAATAATGTGTGAATTTCCAGTCCACACCTCCCTGTGTCCTGGGGTAAACTTATGCTTCAGAGCTTCCCAGTTTGGCTGTCCAAACCAGAGAAGGACCTGAGCTTTTGCATGATGGTCTGGGTGAAATTATTGGGTTTTTTATCTGTTGCACCTTGCAACAAGAGCTAGGACAGAGGTCCTAGGAGCAAGCCCATTGGGATGTCTGCCTGTCATTTCAAGGTGCTTAAATTTGGATTGCTTAAATCACCAAAGTACCACAATTCCTGCCCAAGGGCACACAGGAGCTAAGTCTTTTCACTGAAGCAGCATTCAATTCCCTTCCTCCTACAAATGAGCTTGAGCTGTCCTGATAATTAGTACTTTATCTTGGATAGCACAAAAAGGAAAGAAAGGATGGGGGGAGGAAGTCCTCAGCCTTCACTGCTGGGCAGCCTCACAGTTCCTTCTTATTAGCTGTGATAATGATAGGAGAGAATAAAAGGCCCAGAGCTGCTTCAGTCACCTCATTTCATCTGGTCTGAGATTTGAGCCACTTGAGTGTCAAGAGAGCTTTTTAATTTCCAATATCACTGCTGCCAGAAATTAAAAATAAACTGGGAGCAAAACCATCAGATTAGCCAATCACACTGGAATTGCCTTTATTGTTATTGTTACTGTTGTTATTATTATTTGATCAGCTTTGGGAGAATTAAAGCTATTCAGCAAATCAAAATATGTCTTGGATTTGAATGGACTGAGAGGAACTATTCTATAGTCTGTATTAGTGATGGCCTAATAGCCAGAAACATCAAGGCATGCTCTGCTGGAATCAAGTTTAAATTAATGCTACCAGTTCATAAAAATTGCTTGTGTCTATATAACTTCATTGTGGCATCTTAAAACATTTAATTAGCTAAAGAAACTGTGTGAAAAACCCCAGATGTGGTCGAGTCAGTATCTTGACTGTACTAAAAAAACCCCAGGGAAATGAGATGAAGGCACCAGGACCCCTGGGCTTGGAGGATTCACTCCAGGTTTTACTCATGCACATCCTCTCATGTGGGTGTCCATTTGCCCCTGAGCCTGGTCAGGACTGATGGAGACATTTTGGCTGCACTTACAGATGAGACCTTTGACATCAGCTCAGGGGCAAAAGACAAAGCAGCAGAAGAAAAAGGATACACTGAAAAAAATGCTTCAGAACTGCTGTTCAAATCTCATTCCCTCTACTGCCATGAGAAAAGCCTTTTAAGAATGGCAAGGCACAAATAGGGATGGGTGTTGCTATCCTTACACAAATACATATAGCCATGGTAGTGTCTGAGACAAGACCCCTCACCCAGACTGAAATAATTCCTTACAGGGCTGCAAATGTGGAGTGAGAAAGGCAGGGCTGAATGCTGCAGCAAACAAGAGGAAAGGGGTGCTGTCCAAATCCAATATCCAATATCACAGGCTCTGTAGGTACTTACGACCATTCTGCTCTGTTAATGTGCTGCAAAAGTCAAGGCAGAAATGCACACTTTTGCAGTAGAAAAGGGTCTGCTGTCTGTGAAGAATATCCTATGAAAATAGCAGAAATACTGCTGAGGTTTTGTGGTACAGAGAGGAGCATAGGCTTGCCCTCCTTGCAGTGGATGAAGCCTTACAAACTTTGTATCTTTCAACAGGAAAATACTGGTTGTTATTACTGGCTCCTCATTGCTGGCCTGTGCCTCCTTCTCCCCAGTCATCAATAATTTTGTTGCTTAAACTGGATTTCCCACATTATATTTTTGGCTCTCAAATACTCTATTGATCTATTTCCGTTTACTTGCCTGGCACAGTTTATTTCTCATACCTTGGTAGCACGAGTGCTTGGAGGAAGGAAACAGCAGATTTTATCAGAGTGAAGTTTCATCAGATCTCTTTGAATAAGGTGGGATAGATGTTGCAGTGGTGGCTTTAAGTTTTAGGTTCCCCAACAGGTGGAGGTTCAGGAAGGCTTCAGCATTATCCCTTTCTCCCACATGGCTGCAGCCACTCTATGTGTCACCCACCCTGGGCACTCTGAGTGGTGTGTGAACACACACTGGACTGCCTGAACTACAGTTTGTCATTTCTTCTCACCTTTTTCCTCTAGGAAAAAGCACCTTCTTCCTTAGATAGTAGGTCTTATTATTTTTACTGAAGAGAAATTTTAAATTACACATTTTGTTCAATATTTGATTCTGAATTCACAGTCACCCTTGCTGATCTCATGGGTTTTGTAAATAGTCAGGAAACAGCAGTAAACACACAGGATTCCTCTGTCCTTCCTTCTAGTTGCAAATTATAAACTATTTACAAGCAAAGTATTATTGACAAAATTGTGAGTCATTGTGTATTATAAATAGATTTAATGATCTCTGTAGATGATCACAAACAAGAAGAAAAATTCATTGTATAAATGATTACTTATTAATTATTTGCTCTTTTCCAGAGCTTGCTGTTGCCTCATGGGAATTCTGAGGATCAGTTAATTAAAGTTCAGATAAGATCTTGAATAATGTTTCAGGGATCTAAGATACCAGGCTGCCTCTGTGAATTTTTCTTATTTAAGTGGACTTTGTTAGATCTTAACAGTGTATTTCATAACTCACCACTAACTTTGGATTTATAATTATTTGCTATGCAAATCTCCAAATATTTAATGTCACCTTCATTTCACATGCTAATCAGTTGTCTGCTTCACTCTGATTTGTGTGTATAATTTCGACTTTAATGAAGATTTGATTGTTTACATGAATAAACATTTGAGAGAATAAATTTAGTGTCCAGTCTCACATGTAGCATATTTTAAAGCCAGAAGAGACTATTTGTATAAAATATGTGTAAACCAGACCATTTTATGCCTTCCCAGAAGTTCTTGCAGCGACAGGAATGAATTTTTCCCGCCACATAGGTGAGTGCTATTGAGTTCAATAACATCTTGTTGAGTAAGAGTGTATCTTTTAGAGCACATCCAGCGTCTATGAAAAGGCTCCAGGTGATGATAAATGCATCCCTTTCCTTGACAAAGTGTGCTAATGGTTGTTCTCCACTGGTGCAAAGTGAAGGTGTAGTTCCTATTGAAAGTGGTTTTCAGTATCATTATTAGTTAGCTTTTCATAGCAAAAAGAAAAAAAAAGAAAAGGGAAAAAAAAAGAAAATGAAAATCAAAAGAATGCTCCTTTTAGCTCTCCATGACATTCACAGCTCCCACAGCAGACGGTCTAGTGAGTAAATATAAAGTAACAGACTTTCTAACCACACTATTTACTTGGTTCTTTGCAATGGCTCTGAATGAGCCATTAAGGACTGTTGTGTAAATATAGGATTATGGGCTCTTTAAACACACGCTATTCACTTGCTCTGCCATTATGGGGATCTCTCACTCCCAGGCTCCTACTGACAGACTCTTTGTTAATCCTTTCAGAGGAGAGACAGCAGTGGGCTCTGCTCCTCACTTTGCCATCCACCTGTGTAGCCCAAAGAGTGCCCATGGGAGTTCTGCCTCTCAGAATTCCCGGTTCTCCAGGCATTAAAATGATCCTGGCATGAGGGTTACATCTTGGCGTCCCACTAAGGTGACTTCACAAAGCTTAACCAGGCTCCTCATGTGTCTCTCCAGCCTATTCTGAGGATACTAATGCACTTTTCTATGGGTCTATATAAGGACACAAGGATCATTGTTTCTGATCACCCTGATACAGTAATTATCTGGCTTAGGGAGGATCCTTGTTGAGTTCACACACCAAAACTCCTTAGAGACTCCTAAACAACTCACACCACCTTTGAGCAAACTTTTACCTGATGGTAAAAGACCAAACAGCTCTGGACAGACCCTACCTGTGCAGAGGTCAAAGTTATAATCAGCCCAGACTGAATTTTCAGGATGCTACATTTCTTTAGTCAGTTACATCAAGCTGTATCAAAAAATGCTATTAAAGATAAAATCTTGGAAACACATATGAACTCTGTAATCTGCTGTTATTATTCATTCTCAAAAATACTACATTTTAGCAAGGTGTGCTTCCATTTGGCCTAGACCTCTTGGGTTTTACATCCTCCCAGCAGCAGTGGGAAACCACAGAGGTGTCAAACTGCATGGCAGTGAAGAACCACTACAAGCATCAGTGAGTACTGGGAGAGTTTCAATCATTAGGAACAGGAAACACCATTTACCTCCAAACTGTGTGAGGAATTCTGGTGTCTGACACCACATTTGGCTTGCCAGTCCCTTCCCATGGTGTGAGGAGGTGCAAACTAAGGTAGGAGGTGGCTGAGGTGTCTTCTTATCTGCTTCCAACCCCTTCAGGTTATTCCCTAGGTCAAGGCAAGTTACACACAGTGTAAGAAAGGGATGTAAAAACAGCTTCCATCACCTGATACCGTGGCACTGACTCCCTTATGCCTTGTGTGGCAGCAGCTCTCTGGCCACACAGGCACAACTTCCCCAGGCATTAACCTGGAGAAGGCTGTGTGAAGATCAGAGAAAAGAATTATAAACAATTCTTACCTTCACTTGCTGCACCAGTTGTTGTGAACAGGTGGAATGTGTTATGGAGATTTGTTTACCAAAGGGTTGTTTCCTAATTGGCCAATGGTCATGGTGTTTGGATTCAGGACTAATTGGATCCACCTGTATCATGACTGTGTGAGGGTAATGGGTTTCTCAGTAAGTATAGTACAATAAAGTGACTGATCAGCCTTCTGAGAATCGTGGGGTCAATGCTAATTATTACCTGGCTGGGGGCCTGTGCCAACACCTTGTGCAGTGTAAATGACGAGGCAGAGCAGAGGATGCTCCACCACCACAGTTCAGAACAAGTACAAAGTGTCTGAAGGATGGGCACAACATCAGAGTTTATCCCTGAGATCCCAGAAAACAGCAAGTTCCTATGTGCTGCTTGCACTGGGAGCTGCAGGCTGCCTGATATCATGTTAAAACATCTGTAGTACATCACTTCCATATCTTCCCTCTCTTCCTGGAGCAGTGCTGAGTTTCCTGGGCACAGGGCAAGATGCAGCCCAAACAATCTAGTTTTTCTTCCTTTCACTGCTTCAAGTCTCATTTCAACAGGGATCCTAAGGCTTCTGCTTCACAGGAGCCTCTCACATCTTAATAAAAATCAGGTACTGAGCTTCCAAAAAGACATGCTAAGTCTGAGCCTGGGGCTGGCTCCAAATTCTACTGAACTCGAATGAAATATTAACAGTGATTTGGATTAGACTCTTTATGGTTTGACAGGCAAGAGAGAGAGGGGCTGATTGCTCCTTGCACTCCTATGGATGTAAATTATTTGAAAGGAGAAGTGAGGATAAATCTATGATTTTCCTTCTTGCCACATGAGTCCTTTGACCTGGTAACTCACAGCATCACCTGCTACCTGGGACAGCTGGGGAAGCTGTGCCTCACCTGGGGATGTCTCCTGATCAGCCAAAATGGGGATGGAAGCTCAAGCTTCAGGGATTTTTATCTGCAATATGCTGAAGGACTGTGAACTAACTAGTAACCCTTGGTATTACACCTGATTTTACCTGTGTCTAGAGAGGCCAATTTCTTTTATGGCTCTAATTTACCAAGTCTACAAATGTCAAGCCACAAAAGGTCCTAATACTACAGACAGCTTTGCTTAAAAGGTAGCAATTAATAATCTCACTTCTTTTCCAATTTTCTATTTAAGTTTTAATGTCCTTTATTGTGAGTCCTTGGCAGACATTTTAAAGCTTTTGTCTTACAAGTCTTGAGCTGCTTAGTGGTTTGAGATTTCTGTGGCATGAAAATATTTAAAACCACAAACCCAGAAATGACACATACCTTGTTAGTTAGTGGCTGCATAATTCATGTCATCTGCACTTCTTTCTTTATGGCAAGCATGTGTGGAGGGTGGAGTACTTGAGTTAATGCCTCCAGCCAGCAGAACCTGGCAATATCTCTCTCAACTTTAGTTGCTTTGGACAACCTATCCAGGACTGATGATACTGCTGCTTGTTCTGACCGTGGTCTTTTCTAGACCTCTATAAATAGTTGAGTCTTTCCTTTGGGGAGCAGCAGACATAAAATTATAATGACAAAATTTGAATTCAGATTAGGTGACATAAAATTGTTCCTTTCATGATACCTGCCAGGAGACTTCTAAGAGCAAAACATGTTCAGAGTGAAACTTCTACATCACAGACTAAAGTGAGTGAGGCCACTGGTGTTTTGGACAGCTGCCAGTGTGCTGTACCTTCCTCAAGCTCAGCAGAATTCCCCACAGGACACGAGCGCTGCAGCTGCCTTCAGTGCAAGATGCCTTTTGGAGCTTTGTGGAGAGCTTGTTGTGAAGACACTGAGCTCTCTCACTAATGCACTGGTTTGTTTGAAACTGTTTCATCCTGCCTTTGAAAGCCTGCTTGCTAGTGTTCTCCAGAAGGACTCGGAGTGGACCTTAAATCAGGTTGGACATTCTAGCTGGATAACATCTGGTGAGGGGTGGGGAGAGGGTAGTGGTTAGGGGAGTGGTTCTGATAGAGCTTAGGGGTTGTGGTTGGGGTTAGGGTTAGGTTTAGGCCTAGGCCTAGGCCCATGGTTGTCCTCTAGACAAGAAAGGGCCTACAGCTCCAGGAGCACTGTGGCTGGAAAAGGCAGGCCAAGGCCATCCTGACAAGGCCCCAAAATGGCTGCTCCTACACCCTTCTAAACAGGAAAAGTCATAATCAATGTTCTGGGTTAAGGTGAGGCCTGGGCTTAGGCTTAGTTTTAGGATTAGGCCTAGAGTTGGGCTCTAGACAGCCCGAGAGCCTATAGCCAGCTCCAGGGACTGCCAAAGTCATGCCAAGGCTGTCCCCACAAGTGTGGCTGCTCCTACGTCTCTGTAAGCTGACCATGGCCATGGCCTTGGTGTGCACTCCAGGAGGATTCTTTCCAATCAGGCCAATAAGTGCACTCCTTTGTCTCGTGGAGCCTTCACAGCACCACAGCAATCAACAATATCTGCACAGCTACGCTCAAGTTCCATCACAGAACTCAATCAAGCTCTTGAAAACAGTTCATAATTTTACAAGGGATGAACAGCTGGAGTTGGCATTGGGGAGTGCTGTTGTTTTGGCTTGCAGATACAATAATTCCCTAGTATTAAAATACCTAAATAAATAAATAAATAAACAAATCTGCCACACACATGCTAATCTCATGAATATATGTCTACTGGCTTTTTTCCCTTTTTTTTTTCTTCCCACATCATTTTTGTGGGTGTTTTGAGTTTGGGTGATAATTTTGGAACTTAAAATATTTTTAGTGATTTCATTTAAAAAGCAAAAGGAAAGGAATGTTGATTTCTTTTTCTCCATTTTGTTCTAAATACTTTCTGACCTAAGAAACACTACAGAAAAAAAAATACCTCATGAAAGCTTTGATCTATGAGAAAAGAAAACTGACTGATACTTGAAGAAGAAGCAAAATAAGGAAAGCTTTTACTCTAAACATTTTACCCATCAGAAAATAACATCTTCTGTCATTCTGACTGCTGTGTTTAGAGACTTAGGGGCAGAGCTGTCTTTATGAAGAGGAAAAGCAAGAACCTACCTTTTTTATGAAGAAGTTAGAGGTGGCAAAATAGCCAGTCTAGTATCTTCATTATTTGAAGACACTAAATCTTAGAGAGTAATTTTGAACTTTACTAGGAAGAAAACAAATTGAAAAGAATGCATAACAAAATAAATTGATCATCTCAGGAGATAGTTCCACAGGCCCTCTCTGGAGGATTGTCTCAGCCATGGAAAAGTCAGGGCACCACAACACAGACACAGGGACCCACCTGTCAAAGGTAGATCTTGCCTTGCACACGGAGTTTCTCCAGTCAGATGGTGCATCCTGAGCTGAAGGCCCCCAGTCACTCAGGTGGTACAAAGCAGGGTACATCTGGGCCACCAAATAACCCTCTTCCCTCCAGGCTGCCAGGCCTGGCACTTGCTGAGAAGGTCAGTGTGAGCCCATCATCCCACCTCTGGTGCTGATGCTGAGGGAACTGGATAGAGGGCACAGAATTACCCTCCTCCAAACACTGCACCTCACTGTTGGTTGTTCTGGGAGGTTCTGAGCCCAAGGTGGCATCTCTGTACTTAACAGCCCTTGGGGCATTTCGCTTCTGTGGATTTCTCCAATGATCTTTTGCATCCATATAAACCTCAGCATCCTCAGTATCCGTGGTCTGCAGCTCAGCTCCACATGAACTGAAGAACAATTTAACTACTTTTATGCCAAATATGCAACTTGATAGCCTTGTTCTAAACAAGAACTATTGACTCCTACTCACCTCCTTCAGCTCACTGGGGATTTGGTCAATCAAATCTGGGATCCTTTGCTTCTAGAGGAACTGAATTTTCATACAAAATGTCAAACCAGGAATCTGTCCCATGAGATTAAGGAGCAAACTGAGACATTTCAGGAAGTCTTTGTAGGGCTGCTGGGGTTGAGTCTCTTTTGTGCCCTGCTGTAGCAAACCCTTCTGAAGTTCTCCCACACACAGAATGCAGGTCCTGCCCAGAGGAGCACACTGGGTAGTTCGGATTGGACAGGGCAGAATGCCCTAAAGCAGACCAAGACTGAAGAGTGATGAACTCTTGACTTTTGTGGGCAACAGCAGATCTGAGAAGGAGATAGGGATGTTCATCACTCATGGAAAGGGATGAGCAGCTCTTCACATTGAGGGACGGCACAGCCCAGTGGAAAAGGCTTCAGTCTGGGGCTCCAGGATGCCTGAGGTCTCATCCCTGCAGTAACCCTGTCCTGCTGAATTGTATTGGCTTTCATATTGTTTCCCTGGGTGAAATAAAAGGGAAGGTAATGCTGATTCACCTTCAGAAAGTGCTGGGAAAGCTATAGATGAAAAGTGCAGAGGAAAAGTTAAACAATATTAATGATTATGAAGCCACAACGCTCTCCAAATAGAAGATGCTAAAAAGTACAAAGGGCTATTATATTTTTATTAAAAATGTTATAGCCAGCTACTCTCCTCCCTTTCATTGAATACACCCAACTTCCTTCCTCACTGATGGAAATTGAATTACTTGCAGTGTTTTGTACTGAAATTTTTTATTATATTAAAGAAAAGGAGATACCAATAATATAGATCCGATAATTAAATTGCCACCAGAAGGTGATAAGTCATGAATGAAACAAACAAAGAGAATGAAAGGGAAGAGGAATACAAAGAAATGTATTATATGACCAGCATATGGAATATTAAAGCGAATAAAGAAAACATAACCCTGACAATAAAGTCTGAGTAATGACTTTGACAGTTTATGTTCAAGGCACCATCTGGGCAAAGAATGTTTTTTTTCAAACTGCTGAAGTAACTCTTGCCCTCCTGAACTTCAGGACAGGATTTTCCTCTGATCTGCATTTTCAGAAGTTCCCACTTCACCATGGCATGCTACTGTTCCAGCAGGTTTGTACCAAAAAGTTCAAGGTATTTTGCTTGGGTGTCTTTTGCTTCATCCTGTTTTACTTTGGGCTTTGTGGGAGAAGAGCAGAAGAGGAAGGGATAAGGGCTGGTGGGATGGCCCCCCTGTATTCAGGGAGCTTTCAGGCCCCGCTGCAGGTGATAAAAGGGAAAGCTAGGGAGGGAGGGTGCTGGCCTGGTTGAGGGCATGTCTTGCTATTATTCCTTCTGGAAAAGGAGGGTGGTTCTATTGGGGCTCATATTTCAGAGTCAGACCATTTCCTCTGGGAATATGGTAGAGACAGCTGGTTTTGGGGTGCTTTGTTGTCTTTCATAGGTCTGCTGGGATGGGGAAAGCAAAGCCTGTTCCACAGAATATGTTACAGCAACATCAGCGTAGGGCTAAATTCCCTGGCTGAAACTGGGATGGGGTTTTGCCCTACAAATGATGCCACAGGATATGATATGATGATTTTGCTCTGTCTTGCTGCCTCCTGTCTGGGAGCAATCCCTTTGTGCCTTGAGACACAGCAGCCTATATTGCAAAGCTAATTTTCCAGCTCTCAGTCCTTTGCAGATGTTCCCATTAAGTTTGGATTCTTAGCTGACTGCTTTAGGGCATATTTCTTACTACTTTAGGCTTCTTAATCTTACTACTTTAGGCTTCTTAACCACAGCAGAAATCAGGCAGGAAGAGGGAGCTGGTATTAAGGATTATTCAGATAACCACAAGCTGCATAAAGCCCCATTCATAAAGATGTTTTCATCGACAGGTTTTCATCTGGGAGCTTATGGAAGTGGCTGGAAGTAACCATTCAAATGCCTCCTGTTTCTCAGATAAGCTCGGTAACTCACCCAGGTTTATAAACCACATCAGCAGTGATGAACAAAGTCTAGACTTCAAGTTTTCTGGATCCATTAGGATATTGTGCCTTTGTTTGATGCACAGATGTGAGGGGTGGGCTCCCTTTCAGCTGAGAGAGTGCAAGGCTTAGGAGACAAGTCAGACCCTGAATTTCCTGAGGCCTATTGAAAGCTGCAGGCTGGGAAGCCCATGTGGAGCAGCAGTGTAGAGCAGCCCCCTCTGTGTGACAGCTGGGATAATGCCACAATCTGGTGTTTGGCACCAGGGTGAATGTGCCAGCAGTGGCACACCAGGGTGTCCCGTGCTCTGCACCTGGCTCTGTGATGGAGCAGCTGTCCCTTTGGCCTGGGTGTGGGACTTGCCAGCTGTGCTGAGAACATTCTGCAGCAAGTTTTCCTTTCTTTCAACTTCTGCTTGAGATTTGAGGATAAAAGCCAGCAGGAGACTCATCCATGGCAGAAGCCACAGGAGAGCCTGCATTGGCAGGTCCCATTTCTGAACCCACTAGCAAGGCTGGTGTTTGGTTATGGGGAACTGATATAGGTTTTTCTGATGTGACAGACAGTAAGTGCTGCAAGTGGCTGTTTGCTGAGGCAGAACTTAAAAATAACAATCATTTCCAAGTGTTTCTCCTTCCACTTCCATTTCCACTTGTGCTAAGATGTTATTTTGCCAGCATATGGGAAAGGCACAAAGCGTTCAGACTAGGTGATTTTAGGACCACAGTTTCTCTTGGCCTTCATCCTGACCTGAACAATGCAGAAAGCTGTGAAATTCTGGATGGCAAAGGAGACAATAGCAAGGCAGAAAGAGGAAAGAAACCTTACCTAAAGAGAGATTTGGTCCTTTGAAAATCATCTACTGGTAGAGAGCTGTAGCTGGGAGAGGGGGTGAATCTATTTGTGCTTTATACACTGTGCCAAATATCCTGAGACTTGGACACAGGAGGAGGTGAAATTGTTTATATGTATGTAACAATTGCAAGCCTCAAAACACCATTTGTTTTCCTCATTACTGAGGCCTCTGAGAGGAACAGAGGTCCTGGTACAGGTTTGTGGCACACCATGTGCTGTCTCGGTCTGTCTCTCTCAAGCTGGGCCTAGAATTTGAGCAGGGATCTGGAGGTGGGATGAGTTTGGATCACCTAGCAGGAGGGGTGACACCAGCTGCTGGGTGACTGCTGCCTTC